AAATTGACCTTTTAAAAATGTAGTAGGGAAAATAATTAGAAGAATATAATCTAGCACTGTGATTTCTGCTGCTGACAGTGTATTGCCTCAAGCATGTGTTGCTCACTGAAAACTCTCAGAGCAGCTGATGACCTCCTTCTTCCTTCACGTGTCATGAACAGATATCTAAGAAGCCAGGTGTTTTATTTCATAGCCTTATCTGATGGTCGGCATCAGATCCTAGCAGATAACTTTTCTTGTGCTTTCTATTAAGACATTTGTTTCATAAAGTATTAAGATCTTTTGACCTTCTCAGTTATCAATGACTGAAAAAAGCCAGTGCAGTTCTGATAGACTTCCATCCCCTTCTAGTCACTTGTTTCTCTATAGATAGTTGTCAGCTGCTGGTTGTAACCTATTCAGATTGGCAGGGGCTAGATCCAGCAGTGTAGGGTTTCTGCGGAAGTGACTTGTTGACTGTATTGAACATCGAGCAAATTAAGATGAAAGAAAGTGGAGAAGCCTTAGACTGGGGAAGAGGAGTAGTCATTATTGACTTAATATCGAGCCATATCTTAATAGGGAGATGACACTGAGAATTAAAACAGATCAGTGGAGATACTTGAATTAAGCATAGACAAGACAGCTACGTGACCTCAGACATCATAGAGAGTGTGTTGTAGGTCTGTGAGGTTTTCTTTTAGGACTTAAAACCAACCTAAGTAACATCTAATGGGAGGACCTGTGTGCATGCCAGTGAGGAAGAGTATAGCAATTGGAGGAGGGAAGCAAGAGGAGATAGGTAAGGTGAAAAGGATGAGTTTGTAGACAGCACAAAGGATTGAGGTTGTGTTTCAAGTAGGAAGAATGCAGCTGTAAACATCCTACTAATTCATTGTTTCTTCCTTCAACTTCAAAACATAGAAGAGGAGGAAGAGGGTGTATATGTAGTTGAAAGTAAAAAGAATCATAGATCTCTGTCTATATGTGCATTAACGTGTGTTTGTACTACTCAGTCAGAAGCTAAACAGCTGATGGGATGTAGGGCTGATGTAATTTTGGACTTTCTCCAGGCCCATTTGATAGAAGGTATGGGGGGAGTTCTGATCAATAGCGAAGGATGTCTTCCATGTCTCTGAGGGCTGAAGTGAATTTTATTGACAGGCAGCTACGTTTAGGCGCTGGCAAAAGGTATACCCGCAGTACACTTGTAGAATGGTCAGCTTTGAGCTAGCAGTAGGAATCTGCAGCTGGTGGGGTCTTTATGTGATGAAATGCTTGTTCCAGTAGCAGAATCCCTTGTCACACCTTGGTAAACATCTGCCACTCCATTTTTGGGGATGCATGCCTCTTGTTCCTAAACCATATGACTATTTCATGAAAGTAATACTGATCCATATTCATTTTCGTTTGTGACTTGTATAAGCTAAAGACAGAATTGAATATATTCAGCTTTTTCTTGAGTGTACAAAATAGAATTAATATGCAGCTTGAAAGGATAAGTGGCCATTGGCATTAGGTAAAATGATGACATGAGCCATTCTAAAGTTATACCAAGATACTGGAAAACAGAGTTAGAACTTGCACTGATGCTCTAATAAACTGTAGTCTTGTAAGTGGAGGATGTTCTTCCCACAAACTGATGAGTATTCTCTGCTTTCAAACCACTGACTTTAACTAATACTTGTGACTTGTCCCATATGGTCATCATATGCTAAAGGTGGAAAGTAAGCTAGGAAGATCAGACCGTTTGGGAATTAAAATGTCTGGATTTTGCTTTCAGTTGCACATCAGACTTCTCCAGTAACCTCTTCATCAATAAACACCCCCCAAATACTACACCATGGATGTTAAACATCGAAACAGCACGGGGAAATGCTTTAGGGGTTTGCGTGAAACGTACTAAGTGCAAATACAAGTGTATCACAGTGATAGCTATTTGTTTTTACTTGTGCTCCTGTCCAGGATGTTACAGAAGTGTATAGTCACATGAATCTGCTCTTTTGTTGCAGTAAAGCTAGGTCATACTGCCATTGGCACCAGAAAACAGCTACTTTTGGACAAATACTAATGACTCTTCTCATGTGAGCTGTTTAGTATTTTGGTGTTCGGTGCCTCCTTCCTTAATTTTTCAGTGTAATGTTTTGGTTCTGTTGTTGACCTACAGTCAAAGGTGTAGAGAGTATTGTGTGTTTGATAGTGCCTACTTGTCCACTGGGGCCACCAAGTCTGACAGTTTGAAACTAAATAAGAGGTGAAAGGGATGAGACGAACACTGTCTAAGCTTCTCCTTAAGAGCTGCTGAGGTACAGTGCTTCTTGGTGCCTGCTGTTAGGAGTCTCAGTTTGGAGGTAGTGAAGATTGCTGGAAAAGGGTGTTTTCTCTCTACTGTCTTTTGCCATACTGAGGCTAAACCCGGTATTTCCCAGAATGTTTAGTGATATGCTGTTTGGCTGGCAAGCCAACTCTTGCTGTCCGTACAATAAAAGCTGGGATAACCATTTCAAACTCTATATGGTCTTCTGAACAGTACATACATCTATGCAGTGGAATGAGTGGCAAAAGAGGCTTGGGGCCCCTGGATGCCGCTGTTTTAGAAATACATATTGTTTGTATATTTTGAAAAGCAGTGAGATGTTTTACTCTTCGGGATCAAAGCTGTCAAGTGTGCAAGGTAAATCTTACCCCTCCAGTCCCTCAGGTTCTGTAATGAAATATAACTGAAACTCTAACAAGCTTATTTTTTGAAAGGTTGGAGTCCTTATGGTGTCATTTGTGGTGGATGGGTTTGCAAAAGCTGTTTATTGAGAGAGGGAACCCGGGAGAAACACCTAGGAGGCTCAATGCTCTGTAACATTCTGGTAAAGAAACAAAGTAATTCTTGCTATTGAAAGTGTCAGTGCTTATGCTTTTAAGCCCTGAAGATTTTTAACAAGCTGAGTTAGGAGCTATTTTTACATGGACTTAAAAGGAAAGGGTGTAAAGCTGACTGGTTTCTCATTTGAGCTCTGGAGAAGTTGGCCAGGTCATTGCAGCGCTCTGTTGGGAAGAAGAACCACCTCGCGTGGCCTGAAGTTCAGGATTTGCTCCTGCAGTCAAGGAGACCCCTAAGTGAATTGCAGCTCTGAAGAGTGTCCTTAGAGCAGATATCTTGATACCAAGTACTTCAAATCTCAACCAGTATTGTTGGGGCATTTTTTTTTTTTTTAAAACCTTTAAGACTTCAGTAGCCTTGATTTTTGGGAAAGTAGGGAACAAAGCTCATTAACAGTCATCTTGATACTCTAGTCTTGTGACCAAGGCCTAAAAAAACCCAACACCCCATCCAAAAATGGGGAAGTAGGGGTTTACCTTTTAGATGATGGGAATTGTTGCAGTAAAGCACGTCACCTATTTATATGGGCTGAGTTAGAATGCTAATCATAGAATAGTTGGGCAAATAAAGTGCAGGGCTGCTATCAGAACTACACTTTCAACTTGTTTACCAAAAAAAGGGGTTATTTGTTTTCCTGGCTTCCTTCCATTTATTTCTTACAGTTATCAAAGGGGAGGGTGAATTTTCCATGCAGCTTTAGACTGCTTCCATTTATGCTGTTCTCTCTCCCTCTGAGCAGACATTCATTTCTCTTTCCGTTTTTCCTTTGTTTTGTTGTTTTTTTCTCTGTTTTCTCTTCAAATGTGTAAATCTGTATCTCACCTTCTTATGAATATTTTGAGGAAGGGCAATACCTGCTGTGTATTGCTTGGTAAGTAGTTGGCACCTTTAGCACTAATGTGCTTTATTTATTTTTAGCTTGTTCGTTTGTTTCATGGAACAGTAGGATGCATAAAAGCAAACAATTTTTAAGAACCTAAAAGGTAACGTAACAGATGAGTAACAGTTAATATGGATTTTTCAGGGATTTTTCATGCCAAGCCAGCCTACTTTTCTTCTGGATCTTGCAGGTGCAGATGTAGTAGTAGTAGATATGTTTATCTTGACTCCGAAGTTTTCAAACTAATTTGCTCATGAAAAGCCTAGGAAAACAATGGACTACTGGAAATCCTCTGAAATGCGTGCAAAATGGTTTGGTTATTTTGTTTGAGCTTAACAAGAGATTCAAGATAAAATAAAGATGAGGCATTTAATGGAATTTTGCAGAGTCTTTAATCAGTCTCTCAGAATTCACTGGTTTTCACTAATTTGTTAGATAAACTTAATGTAGCATCGTGAAAATCATCCTTCTGGTGGTGATTCTGTGCTTGAAGGATATGACAAGCTGGCAAAAGAGTGTTAAGTAACCTTGGACATGGTTCAGTCAGGACGAATGCAGAATATTAGGCTTTGATAAGAGTAATCAGGTGTGTAAGTGGAAAGTGGGTGAGGATTGGACAGGCAGCAGCTCTGCAGAGGAGAGTTTGGTACACAAACTGATCATGAGTCAACCAGGTCGCAGCATTGCACAAGCTGCAAACATTGTGCTGGGCTGTACAAACAAGTGTGTTGTAAGTCAGACGTGGGAAGCCATCAGCACGCTGGGTAGAGCTGAGGTAAGCTTCCTCTGCAGGGTCTAGTGTTGGGTACCATTCCTGAGAGATTTTTAGCAGTGACAGGAGAGGTCCCCTAAAGAGAAATAACTTCTCCATTGTGGTAACTTTTTTTGCAACAGCCCTTCACGTATTTGAAGGGGACAGTGCGGGGAAGGAGGGTGGGAGGAGCTGCACCATTTTCCATGCTTTCTGGGAGCAGAACAAGAAGCTATTTGCCAAAACTGCACTAAAGATGATCTGCACTACCTATTAGAAAAATCTTTCTAAATGCATGAGTAGTGAAGGACTGGAAGAGACTCCCTGGGGAAGTTGTGGAAAGAAGGTTTCTTAATAAGCAGATGTGACGAGTGTCTCTTGAGTGCAGTTTCTGTAGAGTTACAGAGTGACTGCTGTGGAACAGCAGATTCTGTTTTTTCTTGCAGCCCTATCCGGTTCTGTAACCTGAGTCATCATAACTGAAGGGCAATAAATGCCCAGTGTGTGCTTGCAAAATGCCGAAAACTTTGATCCTATTACAAACAAAATCAGACTTTGAACAAGGGGATGCACTGCTGGTCATAACAGTGGTGCTAAGAGTGGGTAATAGTGGCTTTGTCTTTTGATGGGAAAGTGTCTGGGAAAGTGGATGTGTGGTTAGCTGCAGACTGTCGAAACCCACAGCCGCTGAGTGTGCACCAAAGCACACTCACCTGTGCAGCGTCCACCGCAATCTTGCATCCTGAGTGCATGTCCCTGTCTGTGTTCTGGTTCATGTCAAGATGCGAGCTAAGTGTGTGCCATCGTCATCCTTCTCCCCCTTCTTCCCCCTCCCCCTATGAGTGCCTCCCTTCTTTGCAAGGAAGTCCAGGCATGGAAGAAGGGAGAAGCAGGACTGTGCCATATGATGCAGCCTTGGTTTTGCTTCAGGTGCCCACAGCCAGCTTCGAAGGTTTTGTTTCCTAATGCATGCAAGCTGGAGCTTTACATGTTAGGTGGGTTTGTAACAAACATTGTTGGTGCTTCTGGTTTTGTTGCCAGATGTGTGCCTGTAAAGGGCAGAGTGCTGCTCTACAGGCTATACTGACTGTTTGGTTTCTTCAGTTACAGGAAAATATAGGGAAATCCTTCATTTTGGTAATACAAATAACACTGTGTTTAATACCACTTATGTTAATCAGGTGTAGAAATAAGTACTTGTCTTCATCGTGCATCACATTTTATTGCTGAGCTATTTGCTCCTGGAAAGGAAATATTTTAGCAATAATCTAGATGAAAAATTGTCACCACTCAATATATTTTAGTATAAAATACACTAGAGTTTTCTCTGTATTTTGCCTTTATTTATTTATTTTTCTCTATAATATTGAAATACACATGCTGATTTAAATCTTTGCCTTACCCTCTTGTGTTTCAGTCTTGTTGGTCATCTTGTTTATGCATGTATTTTGATTATTTGTGTATCTCTTGCTTCCCAGGAGACAAGGATGGTAGCAAAGTGACTACGGTAGTGGCAACTCCTGGACAAGGTCCGGACCGACCACAAGAAGTTAGCTACACAGACACCAAGGTGATTGGAAATGGATCTTTTGGTGTTGTGTATCAAGCCAAACTCTGTGATTCAGGAGAGCTTGTGGCCATCAAGAAAGTCCTGCAGGATAAAAGATTTAAGGTGAGCCTATGCTTAAATTCAGAATACTTTCATGAATGTTCTTATTTTTCCATGTCTTTGGCAATGTTGTCTGTTGTTTTTTTTTTTAATTTATTTTCATTGGAGCACATAAATGCACATAAAAAAATTCCAGGACTAAAGATTAAACAGATGGTTTATGATAAAGGGATATAGTTTAACTTGAAAATCAGTGAGTCACTGCTGTTATGATGATGATTGGTGCAAAGCAGGAAGCTAAAAATCCTGATTTGATGTTGTGGTGTTGCTTCCAGGTTGCAGACTAGATTTTTCAGACAACGAGCTGTCGAAACAAGGGAAAAGCTTGTCTTATGCTTACTTTTTTCTGGCATAGATGCTTCTCCAGTCATTAGTAATTAAGCTGCTGGAAGGAACAGAAGCCTTTGGGCTTTGTTCTTGGTTGTTGCACCTACAAAGTGGAAGGCTGTATTTGAGTAAATTGGAAAGTCCCCAGGCTAAGCAAGAAGATAAATGCTGAGCCCAGGGCAGTTTGGATTGAAGGCGAGTTACTTCCCTTCATTATCTGATTTATAAGTGTGATCTATTCTTGTGGTTTTAATAGACTGTTGTTTCTTTATTCTAAACCAGTAGCCTTTCAAAAAGTTATATTTTTATCTGGTGACATTTAATCCAAGTAAAAGTTATGGGCCATCAGCAACCTCGTTACTGCTGTTAGTCCTCTGCTTGGTACTTGGTGTGCTTGACTGCTTTCCCTTATAAAGTGGTCTGCAGCTAAACTTGTGCAAGCAGTGAATGATGGCAAAAGTACTGGTTTTAGCATCTGAAGCCCATAGCTTTCATGACTATAGGAAGCATAAGGACAGTATATAGAGAAAGTGCCGTGGGTTATATTGTTGGCATGGTCTGGATACAGAAACTTCTGAGCTTAAAAATAGGAAGTTGAAGCATATTTAAGGAAAATTAACAATTTGAAACTTTTTTACAATTTGATACTTACTGTTAGCTTTAGAAATACTTTTAAAGGTTATTGGGTGACATTTTTATCATCTTGGTTTTCTCACTTTTTCAATAAGACTTGATGCACAGCTAGCTTCACTGGTAATGCTTTTAATTTGTGTCCTGTTTTGGTAGCAAAATCATTCTTTTGAAGTGTTTTGAAGGAACTGGTATATGCTTTTTCCTTGAGTCTTGAAATTGATGTTGTCATAACCACAGGCATCAGCGTATCACAGATGCACTAGATATTAAGAATGGAAGAGGAAAGATATGTTTAAATGAGTGTAATCATGCAGCTTTGTTAACTACTAATTGAGAAAGGCGTTTAAGGTTCTTACATTGTTCTTACATCTAAGTTATTTCTGGACTGTATTATGTGTTGAAAGCAATTAGTACTGGGGAAGCATGCAATATGATGTAAGAGTCCATTATTTTAGAAGAATGGAAGAGGTAGAGGAATAACAGAAGCTCTAAACCTAGTCATTGTTAAAAGAGCTTTTTGATCTCTTCCCATAGCATAGTTTTAGGGGGAAGGCCACGACATTTCCCTTATCATGTGTGCTTGGTGGATGTCAGCCTAGTGCTTTGGACCAAAGTCTTTGATTTCTTTAGTATCGTGACTTTGAGGTTGTGTAGAGTGTCAGAATGAAAACTTGGCCGAGCATTTTAGTTCCTGCCCATCAGATACTAATAGTTTGGAACGTCTTAAGTTTGGGGTGTTTTTTATATAAATCTATATTGAGTATCTGGAATAAAATGTAGGCCTTTGGTTTTGTTTAAGTACTTGATTCAGTGGCATTTTGTTATCTGACTGTATCTCTTTATTTTGGAGTGTTTCTTTAAGTGATTAAAAAAAAACCAAACCCCATGATATCTTTGAATATTAGCCCTCTTTTTTGTAAGGAAAAATGCTAAACCAAAAAGCTAATTAGGGTGTTGCCAGTTTAGACTCTGAACTAATTGCCTACATATGATGACGCAAGCTGAGAACATCCAGTACCTGGAGGCTTTAATACCCCTAAAATAGGTGTAATTAATAGTAAGTGCATGTGTAGATTTACAGATCGATAACATTAATTTAAAAATACTTTTTTTAACTTCCTAATTTACATGGGTACGTTTGCAGTAGTACCCAAGTTATGCATTTTTTCATGTGTTCATCCCAAACTTGTATCCCAAGTGCACAACATCATCCACCTTTGGTCTCAGCTCCCTAGTTCTTCCCGTCATTCATCAGTTTTAGTCCTCCCTTTCTTTTCACATTCTGATCTGGAAGTGTATGTTCTGTTGGCAGGAGGTGTAAATTCCTGCAGGCTGGATGAAAGCCTCTGCCTGGACGGATTTGGAAACTAGAGACACGTATCTTATATCAGGAATAGCATACAGTTACTTCAGGGTATGCTGCTCTTTGGGAACGTCTGATCTAGGTTGCAAATACTGGACTAGATACTTTACCAGTTAAACGGGGAACTTTGAATGTCTGTTGGCCGTACAGTTTGATTGCAGCGTAGGAGCGGACCAGCTCTCCTGTTCAGAGAGCTGAGCTATGGGGTGCTGCTCAGCTGGGCTGTTGCCACCCCCGCATGACTGTCTGAGTGAGCCCTGGTGAGTTGGAGTTCCTTAAGAAATCTGCCACTTCTTCCCTCTCATTAATGTACACCCCTGCCTTGGGTATACATTCTACCCGATTGTAGACAGCCAGAGATGGCAGTAGCTTGTTTGATTTAAATCAACTTCATTAACTGCTGAAGGAAGAGCAGGAGCATTTCAGAAATACCTGTCTGCACTGGTCCCAGTGGTGGAGAAGCAACAAGAGGGAAGTAATGCATGGAAGTTGCTTCCTGAAGTGTAGATCATCAACGAAATTTTCAGCTGTATGCTTCAAGCTGGTGCCTGTTTATCTCTATATCCTGATGGATTTATCTTGGTACATGCAGGATAATTCCTTTGTTGTGATTTAGCTCTTAAAAAAAACAAAACCAAAACACATGCTTTTAGTAAAGCCAGCAGAAGGCCTTGAAACTTAAAGGGCATGATTCAGAAACTTTAGGAAGTCCCAAGAAAGTGTAACTTCTAGGTTCCTTCTGCATTTTGTGAATGTGGAGGGAGTTTATTGTGGAGACCTGGAAAATGCATCACAGTTGCCAATTTTTAGATCTCTGTCAGGAAGTTGAGATATTTTTATCCAGGTTTAAAGCTGGCTTGAAAACTGGAATTACCAGAGGGGGGTTGTCTTTTTTCTTTTTCCCTTTTCCATTATTGTGACAAGTTTCTCGGCAGCCGCCACTGAAGTGGAAGCAGTGTTGGTCTATGCCAGAATGAAGTGAGTGTAAAATCTTTGCTAAAGAGTTGAATGTTGCTATTTCTGTGATGGTAAAGATAGCTTGTAATGCTCCTACTTCTTTCTGCTCCTGTGTTGCAGTTAAGTGGTTCTTCGGCTTGCAGTTCCTGCATGACTGTGTTTTAAATAGGGTCTCTGAAGTGCTCTGGGTTTTAAAATGAGTATGTCCAGAGTTCAGTGTAACCTCGAGCAGTAGTATCGGTTCACCTAGGGATAGAGACAAATGGCTGAGGGGAATAAATATAATAAAATACAGAGATTTATGGTTAATTTTGGTTTGTACTTTTTCTGCTTTCATTGAGCTAGATTTCCATATTGAGTGAGGAATTTAAGTAATTAATTTTGGAAAATTATGTGACACTTAAGCGAGTAGTTCACAAACTACATGCTGTTTATCGTTCATCTGTGGGACCAATGAATTTGTCTCTAATCAGTATGGAGGGTCATAGCTTCTTTGGGTTTTTTTTCAGTTAAATGTTTAACAAAAGTGAGAGAGAGATGTTTCTCTGAAAAATGGTGTAAGACAGCTATTCACAAGCTTTTGGGGCCAAAATCCATTCAAATGGCAAAATTTCCTTAGGACTGTGTTCCAGCTTTCACAGGTCTATACTGTGTTTCTGCATCTGTCCTACAGATGTGTAAGAATAGGTCCTCATGCAAAGCTTTGATAGATAGGTGCAGTAAATTATTTATATTTTCAATTACGTTCATCCACGTCTACGCAGGCCCTTAACTGACACAGCCTAATGGTGATGCTTGAAAAGAAAATACTGTTAAGATAAATTTTCTTGCACTGCTTTTGTTGGCAAGTTCATTGGAATATTCTTCAGATTAAGAATCAGTCATGTTGCTGTCTAATTCTGCAAAAAGCAATAATAAGCAAGCAGGTATGTTAGCACAAATGAGAAACTCTTAGTCCATTTTCCGTTATTTCTGTCATTCCATGCCCATTCTTAAGAAATCCTGTTGGAATGAATGTGTGAATTGCTAGAAATATTTCTCAGCTGACTGAGAATAAATACTTACATCCTTCATATCTGAATTGCAGTACTTAATGTTTCTGCTTTAGCACTAGGCTGTCGCCGTCTAAATGATGAAGAGAGTTCTTAATAATCCTGCACCTTTTCAGACAATCTAGATTGGGCATAACATTTCTTGTTAATGGCTTACATAGACCTGAAGTGTGCAGCAAAAGAAAGCCAAGTTCTGTAATAAGAACCATTCATGCCATCCAGTCTGTCAAATGATTCAGCGACTGCCTAGGTTTAGCAATCCAACTGTGTGTGCCCATGGCTTAGTTGCCTGAATTATTTAAGTAAGTAGATCTTCTGGAGCGTGAGAGGATGTCTGGGCCCTGATGGTCCAAAAACATGAAGCCCTGTGTTGATAAATCTGAGGGGACTGAATAGCAGGCAGTGCTCTTTCCTATTTTTTAGCTATGGGAGGAATATATGTCGTGACCATTTGCATGATTTTATTTTATTTTTTTAATATGTAAAATCTCACTGTTAATCTGAGCCTTAAAACCCAATAAAGCAGCAAGATGGAAAAATAAGTCCATATTGAAGTTTTGGTTTCTCTCTTTCTCTGCTGGGTGTGTGTACTTTTGTGAGCTGTTTGAAATGCATCTGTAAGAGCAACAGCTTTCCTTCAGTTCCTGCCTCAAGTATATCAAGCTGCTAAG